CTTCGCGTAGCTAGCGTGTTTGGTTCTATTATTCTTTTTTTCTCTTTTATTTTTTGCATTCAAATGAAAAAAAAAAATTGAAGACTATTCAATGGTTTCTGCCCACGGCTTTTTTTTGTGTGCTAAGTGAAAACAAATTCATCAAAAAAACGGTCAACAGGAGTGAAAATATTAACGTACTGTTCTTTTCAACGGTCGTGTCGAAGTCGACTGCATCGAATGTACTCTCGATATTGTGCCAGTATTTTAATTCATAAACAAGTTGCAATAACAAGAACAACAATCAGTAATTGTTAAAATTTTGCAAGTATTCTTTTCATATTTTGCGAACAACCCAATAAATAAGAAAATACACAACGAAAAGTTTTGTCTACCAAAACAAATATCAATAATAATACAATTTTTTTGAAAATTAAGACGAATAATATTTACATAAATAATTTTTTTTTCTTTTCAATATAACGTTCCAGCTTACAACGATTCTAAAAGTTATCACTTTTGTTTAAAGCCGAGATTCATAATTACGATACAACATTTAACTTAATAGAAATGTGACTATAAAGATTACAAATAAATTCCTCTTTGGCACACGCCGGAAGCGCACAAATTTATGGATATGTTGTCCTAATGTCAAAGTTCAGTTCAAAGCCTATAAGCTCAAAACTTTTAATCTTTCGTACAAATATGCATAAGCATTATCGTACACGCGAGCTGTTACACGCGAATATTCAACAATTTTTATTTATTTATTTTTTTTTTTAACCACTCTACTTTAAATTTCTTGGTCGGTCGAGTGGACAGGTATAATTAATTTTTCCACCAAAATATACAATCTAATTCATTCACTCCCACAGTTCTGAATGATGAGCTAATTTTCAAAGTTTTGAATAAAAATGAAACGTTTTTAACGTAGTACGTATGCCTGCATCTGGGTCTCGAGGGAGGGAGTTATACACGCCTCTCTTGATTTCATCTTTATCGCTATTCTTTTTATCTAATTTAATTTTTGTTGTTTATCGTATATATAATAAATATATATTTTTATTATGTAATTTTATAATATATCCTTATTAATAATTCATGCTATAATTTTATTTGTTCCGTACTTTTGCCCTCTTCTCATAACTCCTTTTATTTTATTTATATTTTATGTACCATACGAGAAGCCACTATTATTTTTTTCATATAACGTAAAATCACGACGAGCCTCGATTCGTTTGTTAGCTTTTCAGTCTTTCACTTTTTCAAGTTTACTTGTGTCTCTACTCCGAGTACTCTTGAAAATATCTATGACTCAAACAATTCAATAGACTTAGCAAATCGAGGCGAGTGTGTGAGCTATTAGCAAATCTCATTGGGTTTACGCTTTAAAGTTAGATGAAAAAAAATCAATAAAAAATGAACCAACTAACCCATAAAGATCGTATTCAAAAAATTCACCTTTTTTAATTATATAGTGAAATTTGAAGAGAAAAATTAATTGGGTATCCGTAGTTATTTTCTCCATTAATGCATTATAAAACAATAATTATTAACGAAGAAAATTCACAACACATTTTGTACACACACGTATAATAAATATATATCTATAATCGCTAAGCAATTTAATAAAAAGTTTTTAACTTTTTTAAAGCCAAATCACATAAATAGGATCATTTCTGATCCTATTTGAATCACAATTTTGTTTCTTTTAAATATAAAAATCAAGTATTTTTCGTCGACTTTATAGCCTAACTCGACGTTCAATTTTATTTTTAATAAAAATCTAAATGAAAATTAAAATAACAATAAAATGTTCTCTTTTCTTGTTCTTTTCTTTCCTCAAAGCGCATAAACAATGTCAATTTAGAAAAATAGCTTCGACAAATTCCACTTACATAAATAAAAATTCTAATGCCAGCTCTTGTTTACAATACACGTTTTTAGACTGTATAAATTGATAATTCATATTTATATACTTCTTTTTTATCCTTCTATCCATTCACCAAAACATACCCATCCAGTAGATCTCATTCAATTATCACAAGCTATTCTTACATACAAGATGAAATCGAATGTCACATCTATTGAATAAGTATTGGTATATACTATTTCTCGCTATCGTTTTCCTTCTCTCTTGGTTTTATTTTTATCTTTTTATTAAATATAAAAATGAAAACTAACATATCTTTGGCTTGTTCCCTTTACCAATCGTCAGCAACGTCCGATGATGCTGCTGCGGCGTACTAAGTATTATTAAAGGTTCAATTATTATTTTTTTTGTTATTTTTCTACCTTGGTTATTAATTTTTTTTTGTTCTTTTTGGCTTAAACACCGCCTCAAAAATCATTTGTACAGTTTTGTACACTCGAATACGTGTATCGATTAAGATTCTCTAGCGCGTCACCGATGTTCTCCGACGCGAATTTACACGTTGACCTATAACTCTATACGTCTAACATTGTAATTAATATTAATTAATATTATTATTATCCTCGTGTACCATCTGTTTGCGTATAACATGAGTGTGTAGATGCGTTAATATGTAATTGAAAGTACCTTTTGCGTACTTATGTTTTGTGTGTACTAATTTATTAGCTGAGTGCGTGAGTTTTACTGTTATTATTCCTCAAAACGCAAAAACAATATCATCGTCGCGCCTATCTCCGTTTGAGCCGCTTATGAGTGCGTGAGAAGATGTTTTACAAGACAAAAAAGAAAGACCCAAACGCAACTCGCATTACTTCGATAGAACATCAATTGAACACATATAAGCGCCGCTCGCGGCCGTTTCTTCTCGCGTTATTATCGTCATAATCACTATCTTCGTCCTCGTCTTCGGTTCTTTTCTCACTTGCTTCACTTCATTTTTCTCTTCATTGTGAATTATTATTCTTCTTTTTATTGGAAAAAAAATTGAAATTCCTTCGCTTTGATATAATCTTTTTCTTCTTCTTCAATTATGCTGCACTAACTGCGTGTTTAGCAAAGGAGGACGTTGCAGCCTACTCGTAGCAGCAGTAGTAGTTTATTGGAAGATGCGAAAGAACATCTACAAACATGTTCTAATGTATCGGGGTCTTCACGATGTGATTCGGCGTGATGTATTGGAATGCTGGAATAGCCATGCCACCGGTTTCCAGCGATATCCTGTAACAAACGATTTAAAAGTTAATTTCTTCTCTAATTTGTTACTTTATAAATTATGTTTCTTTTTATGAGAGTATTCAAATTTCTAGCTAAAAAATGCACGAAAGTGATCTTTTGCAAGCTATTATAAAAATGTAATTATAGATGCTTTATGTTTCAACTTTGGCACTTGAAAGTAATTATTTGAACAAATACTCAGTTCTAGCATTCATTCGATAATAGTATGTTGATTGCAATTTATGAAATAATTAATCTTGAATGAGCATGGAAAGTCCACAAGAGAAATATCAATTTCAGCTCATTCAAGGCCAATGAAAATTCATTACAAAACAATTTCACAATATAAGCCATAAAATTGATTAATGGATAATGTATTGCTTTTCATATATTCATTGAATCAATTTCGTTGATTATCAGTTAATTAATATTTAATGAATTAAATTTAAAATCTTCATATGAAAGTATTGATTTCCCATGAGAAATATATACGTTTGAATGGGAATGCAGATTGTAACAGGAGCAAAAAGGAACGGATAGTGCTTACCAGAAAGAGGCAGGATGCCTGGGTCAAGTTGGTTGGTGAGATGGATACATCTATCCTTTGTCATTTTCTCTCGTTTTTTAGTGCGTCTCTTGATGGTTATTATTATGTTATTTTTCATTTTCATGTTGATGATTAGCAAAAAAATTCATTATTATCTACAATTCATTTTTTTTATCATAACTCTCGAAAGTCGAATCTTGTCTTGATAAAATTCAATAATGGTAATTAAAAAAGAACCTTTTCTAATAAACACGCCTAACTCTTTATTAAGACAAAAATGATACATTGTGAAATCAATCGCGGAACCATTTATGTTTAACTATAATCTATGAAATTTCAGCGTGTACGCAGTTCTTTATACGCTTTACAAATCCTGTATTTTCTTAATCGCACGTATAAAGAGAAAATAATTTTTTTTGAAATTATATTTGAGACTGATTTTGATACTTTAAAAGCGAAATGAAAAATCAAAATTCAAAAATACGTAAATTAACAAAGTTTTAAAGCAAACATACTTGGATTTATCTTGAAAGCAGTTTATTCATTTTACTAGAACTTTTCTCCTTCAACAATGATGGTGCGTTATAAAAAATAACATCGAGGAATGTAAATGCGCATTATTTTAGTATTCAATCGTATTGCTAATGTTTACGATTTGACAATGAATGACACTTATTACATCGGAAATATTCTTGACACGCTGAACTCGTGAATTTTCCTTTTACATTTCATTATAACTATTATAGATTAATTTTACTGCAATTACGGTGAATGTGAGTATGCATATGTAAATATTATTATTTAATTATATTTGAGTACCAGAAAATGTCCTAAAGTTAGAAGATCAAGCTCTAGTTTTTGTCATTTTTCTTAATTCATCGACTATCTTTATTTAATTCTTGCATAAAATTAAGCTCAGTAGTTTTAAAGCAATTATTTTCGCTTTTTTCTGTTGTGTTGATTATTACATGATTCAATTTTTAGTTCACATGACTTTATTATCATTGATAAATTCGTCAGTAATGATCTATTCGGGATACAAACCACAATGAGATGGCTCTCATTTTATTGGCATCTCAATAATTAAAAATAATTAAAAACTGCTTATTTCTAGATTTTTTCATCATTACCATACACGGATTAATGAGTATTAGTAATGAGAAAAATTTTTAATTTTGGATAAAGTCTATAAAAATGGCATGAATCAAACAACTCAAACTATACATTTGATTATAACAGCCTTGTGTCAAATTAAAAATATCTTTTTTTAAAAAGATACTAAAACATTTTTTACTGCTCTCTAAATAAGTTTTTGAAGATTAGAGATTTCTAAGTGATTGATCCTAAATTTTATTAACTTATACTTTGTAATTAGTACAATACAATCACTTTTAGCCGCAATGTACAAATATCTCCCGATTTCGTCAAATTATCACAAATAATAAAAAACGTACAAAACAGATTCTTCTGAGTTGATTAATAAATGCCTTTAATAAGGGCTTTCATTATAATTAACATTTTCTCTTTTAATTAAAAAAAAAGGTTCCGATTACATGAATTCATTATCATCAATCCAGCCATGATATTAATAATTCGCAATAGTCATTAATTCATACGTATAAAAAGAAACTTAACTATACGAAATTTAATTGTTATAATTTCCATTCATCCCGCACAGTTTACCGAAAAAGAAATTGAGTTTGGCACTAAACCGTTTGTTGCAGCTCTCATACCATTCACGAAAAATCATTTTATTCTTAGTTTTTTTTCCTCAAGTATACATAAATATATTTATACACTTAGCTATCAACTCTTATTTAATTTATATAAAAGTTCAAAGCAACTATCCTTGATACTCTGTTATTACAAGCGATTTTGTCTCACTGATTTTCACTCACTTTTTATTTATACCGATTGATACTTGATTTTATATCAATAATAATGATCATTTCAAAATACTATTTTTACGTAGCAAAAATAACCATTACTATTGAACTGTCTACAAATACATAGATTTATAAAAACTACGTAGATCTTCACAAACTTTTTCTATGTAAATATATGTAAATAAGTGTTTGTAAAAAAATTACATACAATGTCGCAAAAAAATGATCGCAAACGAAAAAGGTACAGTAAAAAATAAATATAGATGTATAAATAAATAAAGATGAAAAAAAAAGATTTAAATATAATCATCTAAAAATCAAACGCACTGACTTTGACCTCGCTTATGTATACTACTTATACACCTAATGTAATAATTAAAAGTCACAAAGTCTCGCGCGGGTGCGCGTCCGCGTGTCTCTCTTTCTCTCTTTAGTACGGATTGTACTTGGCACGCTCGTTCTTGAATTTTCCGCTCTCCATGGGTCCCGGCGTCGAGGGGCTCCTGAGGCGCGGCGTGAAGTTCTTGTGGGAGCGATGCACCCCCGTGGTCTGGATCGGCAGGGCGCTCGCCGCGGCCCCGGCGCCGCCCAGCAGCTCCGTCAGGCCGCCGAGGGCCGTGAGACTGGTAAGGGCATTGAGGGCGCCGGGCTTGCTCAGCAGCTGGGCAAGTGGGATAGCGCTGGCCAAAGGAGAGGCATTGGTGTTCGTGGTGTTGTTTGAAGGAGAAGAGGTGTTGTTGTTGGCCGCGGCGGTGCCTGTCGCGCCGCCGCCGCTCGTCGTCGTGTTGCCAGGATTTTGGGTATTTTGGGCCTCTAGGTTAGCTTTCTGCAGCTCGACACTGTGAGGAACAATCAAGATAGAACAACAATTTCAACAATGGTCAAGAGCAAGAAAAAGACAAGGCAAAAGACAGAGAGAGTGGCAATTTTTTTTCATGATGATTATGATGATGATAGATGGTGATGATGGCGATGATGATAATTTTATGGGTTTATTCTTCTTTTTTTTTCTCTCGATTTATTTGGTAAGGATTGTTTTGGATTTTGTACAATTAATTCGTTTTCGTCATATATAGTAATTAAACAGGTTAATCTTTTTGGTCGAATGATTGGAAGGAAATTTTTATGATTTTCTTTTTGGATGTGTTATATGACGTGAGTGCTCGATACGTGGATTCTTTTATCGTTTTCATTGTTGGCACGTTTAGTTGAAATAGGTAAAAGCAAGAGAAAATATGCAACATTTTTGGAAGTAAGGCTTTTTATCATTATGCAAAGGTTGATGAAAATTAAATTATAAAACTAATTAAGTTACTTTCTAGTTCAACAAAATAATGAGAAAAAATCTGAATTTATAAAAGAATAATTAAGAATTGGCAATAGAATAAGCACTATTTCATGTTATGCATCCGAAAAGAATCAGCTATTAATTATTATCTAAAATTAAAATAACTTTAAATTATAAATTCGATAATAAAAGATTACTTGAATTTTAATATATCACCACGTTATTAATGGAAAAAATATTAAAATTGTGCAGGAAAATATCTCCAACATTAACATGCCTCAAAATACCATTACTCTGATAACGTAAATTAGTTCGAATTACTACGTCAGATAAATTACTGTCAAATAACTTATTTACACTATATAAACTAATCTAACATAAAATAAACGATCTGCACTTTGCCAATTGGGCGTTACAAATAATTTATCAATTTTACACATATTACTGTGAAAAAAGCGATGCTTTTTTGAAGAAAAAAAGTGAAAAACTATCCAATATGGGAAAAGGTGCAGGTCGCTTAAAAGGTAATGAGTACTGCTTCGAAAAAGTAATGAAATCAAAAATTGATTGTCATAGGTCGACCACTTCATTAAAATTCTACAATCTATTCATGCAAAAAATTGAAATTTTATTGACTTTTTGAAAATGTCGATGAATAATTTTCAAGTGGACCGCTACGAGACAATAAATTATTCGAATCATGACCTTTCAAAATAGTTAAATCATTGATTGATTATAGGTGATCTGGAAAATTGTAAAATATAAAGATTATGATTCCATAATCACAATGGATGTGCATGATGTAAGTGATAAATATGCCTTGGACATGTGTTATTTGCACATATTTTGGATCCGTGGATAGATTAGGTTATTTTGTATTTCTTCAAATTCATCAAGTGTGAAACTAAAGTCTAAATTAATAAGGATTTCAAAAATGTTAATAAATTACACATCTCACGATCCGCAAACAAAGATTAAATATTTACAAAAATAAAAATAAACAGAAAGCAGAGCGTGAGACGTGAAAAATGAGTAAACATAATAATAACAAAAACGTTTCGTTCGACGAGTCACATAAGCTAAAAGCGAAGGGTTTTATGTATGACCATAAACAATTGACCTCATTAATCTTTTAAAAATGCATTTGAAACTGCATACACATGTTATAGAAATTAATTTAGCGTATGTGACGATTAGCATTGATTAGACGGGAGAAAAAACATCAAACTTAATGTATTAAAATTAAAAAAAATTATTAAAGGCCTTCGTAAGTCCAGGAAGGGATGTCGATGCTGCCGAGGACCAATGTGGGATTACAGTCTGCACCTTTTTGAGAATGATTACCCTGTGGATCGAGGAAAAGAAAAGGACACGTCGATCGTAAGTAATGCGTCTGTCGTAAATTCAATGCGTCGACTGCATTACGAGCGATCGTCGGCCAGTTTTTTTTTACGAGTCGAACAAAAAGGATGTTGGCACCATGTACAGGTTTGGCATTATTTTTTTTTTGGAATGACGATGATGGATTATAATGTTATACGATCATTGGTGGACGGTTATATATATCGTTATTACAATTGTCAGCGGGAATCACAAGGTTACATGTTTTTGACATTGTTTTCTGGACCTGGAAAGAGTTATTAGAGGGGAGATACCTGGAAATAAAGGAATTAAAGTGAATTGAATCTTCGTTCTTGCTGGCGGTGTTGCTGACGCTGACGCTGCCGCTGCCACTCCAGTTCCATGATTATTTCTTTTCGTTTTTTGTCACTCATTATTTTCGTTTCCAATTGATAAATCCAATTTTTTAATAAGGCACACATTTTTTAGCTCTGATTCTTTTTTAAATCAAGTCTTTACACATCGTGTGATTTTTATAGTTTATAGTCACAAAAACTACTCATTTAAAAATAAAACTAAAGTTAAAGATTAAAACCAACGCTTGCGTCATTTTATGTATGCATAATAAATTGCGGCACAACTGGTCAAAATGTGTGAACCGTGAGATAGAGATAAATCGGGGAATTTCGCATAACAATGAAATAGTTAGATGAATTTTCGGCCTCGAAAAGCAGATCATACATCAACCCAACTTCTGTTTCATTATCCAACGAAAAGTATACACCAAACGAGAGTTGGTCGAGTTATTGAGGGAATAAAAAATGTAAAACCTCCTAAAAGCCTAGCCACTTTTACCGTGAATTTTATTTTCCACCATAATACTATCATAATTTTTTACGCTTCCAATCATTAACCATCATTTATTTTTGTGACGGGAATGTATAAACGATGATAACGAGTAAAAAAAGAAAGAAAGGAAAAAAAAACATAAAAACATCATAAGTAATGCTCGTGAAATGAAAAAAAAAAAAAAAAATACGAGTCGAAGCATCGTCACGAACTTACCTCATGTTGATGAGATACTGAGCCAGAGCCACCGAGTCCGGATTTCCCGTGATGGTGATAGTGCGATCCGTCGGGCCACCCTCGCGCTCCTCACAATTGCTGATCCTTATCATGGCCCCGGAGATCTGTCGGATCTCGGCGATCTTGGTGCCGCCCTTGCCGATGATGCAGCCGATCAGCTCGTTGGGCACGGTCATCTCGTGCGTCTGATTGTTCGCCGCGGGCTGCTGTCTGTTCTGGTTGTTGGTGCGCAGCTGACTGCCCGCCAATGCTGCCAATGCTAGACCGTTGGGGGAGAGACAAGAAAACGTATGCGTTTAAGTTATTGCGCCAATGCGATGATAAATTGGATTTGGTGGATGTAAGAAAAAAAAAAAAAGAAAATTAATTACAACGACGCCGTGCCAAGTTTGCATATTATTGTAAACCATTGAAAAGTTTGTTCCTCGAGTTTCATCGAGTCTCGCGCGTCTCAAAGTCGTTATCTCTTTTCACAGTCGTCTGAGCCCTTATCCCGCGGATTACGCGCGCGATTCTCTTACCTAGAGATTCTACCAACAAAAACTAACTTCGACTAACTTGAGCGATAATAGAAGATGCATCGCCTGCCTCGTCGCTGGCGACAAAAAACAAAACAAAAAAAAAAGCAATAACTGCAGTCAAGAAACGGTAGCAGCTTTCGTATAAAATCACTTCTTACACGATCTCGGGCTCGCGCGCGCGAGGTACTTGATGAAATTAAGTGTGAACATTTTTCGTCGAGATTAAAAAGAAAAGAAAAAAAAGCAAACGATAAGAGAAAACAAGCTCGACTGCGCCGAGCTAATCGAATTTTCCTTTGAAAAGTACAAAAGTCGGCGTCGCGACAGTACAAAAATCACGAAATACGTCTGGCAACGCGGCGTAGGGTGCCAGGACCGGAAATTACCTGCAGGATTTAGTCCACCGGTGTTGGCTGGAGTCGCCAATCCGCCAAGTCCAAGTGCGGCTAAGCTGGCCAGAGGATTACTGCCGAGTTTGCCCATCTGCAACAATGTCACGGGTGAAAATTAATTATCAAACTCTCTCTTACTGTGGCTTCGAGTTTGCTCGAGTATATATCGGGTATATAACAATGATTATTGTGCCAGGGATGTTTATTTTTTTTGTTTGTCGTTTCACTTAATTTTTTTTTTTTTGTTTTATACATATAAGAGGTTTCACACTAAGAAGTAATACATTGCCAACATTATCAACATCAAGACAACTAGATATTGTTTTATAATTCGTATATGAATCTCTCTTTTTTTTTGTCGTCACACCTTCGCTTCGTTAAACTAGTCCAAATCTCGAGCGATGACTAATTGTGGAAAAGCAATTTATTGCTAACGACCGTGTTCCACGCGAGCTCTCATCATCATCATCATTGTCAATTCATTTGTATCCGTATTTTACAATTCACGAATATTTCAATTAAAAAATTTCCAGTCGCGGGAGCAGCAATTATTTTCGTACGCGCGCGCGCAAACTTTCGTTACTTTCCCCTGAAGTTTGTTTGATCGCGATACAACGGGCTCTCGATAAATTACGATACATTTTCCAACTAACCAAAAAAAGAAAAAAAAGAGAAAAAAAAATGAACGCGGATCGTCAAATTCCGAAATTTGAGCGTAATTAATTACCCCGAGAACAGTTCGTGTGCGAACACGCGTAAACGCGAAAAATAAGTAATGCGTGTATCAACAAACGACGTATACGCGAGCGACGAAAAGTGGGCTATCGATCATATTTTCTTACTCGGCAGATGCGTTTCGTGCGATGCTGCTGCGCATCTTTCATATTGCTACCTTCCTCGCGTGTACACACATGCACAGAGAGGCACTTCGCGCTCAATTGGCGGATTCGCGCACGAATACGGATGCGTAATAATAAACAGTGAACTCGTTTTGGGCGCGCATTACGACTGAATTAACAACGTTGTTCTCGTTACTTCGTGTTCGTTGAAAAAAAAAAAAAAAAAGAATGGGAGTATCGATGTGGTTGTAATTTTGTTTTATCGCGGCTTTCTATAAGCTGGCTCTGTTTAAATCGACTAGTTAAAAAACTCGGTCATGCATTAACTTTCAAATCTTTCATTTGTGATTCGTTGCAGTAAATTATTATGTCCATTAACAAAAATAAAAGAACCACGCGATCTGTGATGCAAAAAAATAGTCGATGATTGAAAGGGGGAAAATGAAACATTTGGAAAATAGGATGAGCGATAGGGCGATAAGTGTGAATTTCGCCTCTACATGTGCATCCATAACGAAACTTCCGTTCATTGTTTCTTTTTCATCATTTTTTTGTTCACATGAATTATATGGCACTATATGACTTTGAAAACCACTATTGATTGAGTAAAATGTACAATAAAAATAAAATAAAATTAATAATTCAAATAGTTTTATTACTATCTGTGACTAAAGATAGAATTTTGCCAAAGGGTATAATTGGATTACAATTTATATCCTATTATTTACTGTTTATTGACCATATTTCTCTTTTATCAAACAAACGTACCAGTTACAAATGTGACCGCGCATTGTACCCTTCGGCAAAAGTTCTCGTTTATTATTAATTATACTAGTAATTAATTTCGATAATTAAAGTAAGTTTAAATTTTCCAAAAGAATAATCTCTATCTGGAAAAAATCATCATGGAAAATTTAAAATTAGTATTATAAAAATAAAAAAAAGCTGTCCAAGGACAGCCCACACCCTCGCGCAAACCTCGCTACTCGGTTTTCTTATCTTTATCTTTACACATCGTCTAACAAAAGTAAAATGAATCTCATGACTCTAAAAGAAGGCTACATTTATCAAGGGATGAATGAAAATTATGCAGATATAATACGACAAACAAGAAGCAGAAAATTATGAAGCGCAAGTGGAAAATGTGTGTACGTTGGGGAGCAAAATCTTAAGAAAGTTTAAACAAATTGATGAATAAAACTTTGCGTAGTTGCGAATAAGGGAGTGGCACATATAAAAGGATTATACAGTACGTGTATATATTTACACTATATAAGGGCTCTGACTATAAAAAAAAAGATGAAATAGTTGTTTGTTTTACAGGAATGAGTGAAAGAATTTTTATTCGATATTTTTCTTCGCAAAATATGCGAGGAAATAACCGAGGGATGATATGACAGCTTCAAAAAAAAAATTTTTTTCAATCCATTTTTTATTTACGATGATCAAAATTGACCAGGATTATCGTGAAAAAAGGCAGTAATACTATTAAGCAATTATTGAGCCAGAGCGATTTTCGGCGGAAAATCTGAAAATCGATCGATATCATAGGCGGCGGCGGCGGTCGGCACTCAAAGCGAATTTGATTTCATAAACATGTTACATCGTTATTCAAAAAAATCCCCCAATGTTGAGAAAGGAAAAGCAATTTTTTTCATAACAAGCGGACTGTATATTCACTACTACCATTAGCGATTCTTTGTAATACCACAGAGGTCATGCGGAATCAAACAACCCAGGAAAAGAGCACGCGTATGAAAAAATTGTACACGATGAACGTCGCTTCATTATGTCTAAATTAAAATAGCTTTTTTATGAGTAGATAGATAAAGGAAGAGTAATGGGGAAGAAGAACGTATGAAAAAGTAAAGTCGTCTTGAAACTCTCCGAAATGATTTAAATTACAATATGTACTTTGTAAGGAATAGGACTAATATTCTAGTTGCAAAAAGTGAGTTGTTATTATGTAATGAATAGCGAGTTTTTTTTTTACCAAGTATGTCCGTGTCGAAAGAAGAAAAAGTAAAAAAAGAAAAGTTAAGTACAGGAATAGAAAAAGATTTAATGATCGAGCTGCATATATACTTAATGTAGAAATGACCTAAATCTACGTTCTCGTGCCTCATGCATGCATTCTTTACACCGTTCACAAACGTTTGTATACGTCTAGATTCGGATATACCTTTGCGGTGGTATGTAAATAATATCGTGTATATCTTTAAATGCTCGTAAATAGCCGCTTGCCGCGTGACCGATGGCAATCGATTACCGTCACCAGTAGCAGTATAGCAGCACGACCAGAAGTTAAATCGTCGTAATAAGCAATTTCGTGTGTTCACGCGATAAATTAATGCTTCCAAGATGATCGCGCCATTTTAAAATATAAGCTGTTTCCTGTTGTGCGCACTTCCTAATACCGAAACGCGTGGACTATTCATTTTGCAACTAATAAAGATGTAAGTATGAAAAATCGATCACCCGAGCTCGCCAACGACGATGCGAAAGAAGAAATGGCGCGAAAAAAGGGATGCAAATGAGAAGCGGCGCACAACAACTCTTGAAAGAAGCCGAAGCCGTGTCGGATATGCACTTTTTTGAGTGCACCTACGTAATTTTGAAGTTTTCGCATTTTGCACGTGTCAACATCGATTGATTTTTCCATCCCAACAGAGAGAAGATGAAGCCCTGCATCGTACAGATCGTTCGTGTCGCAGTCTCTAATGAAAGGTGTTACACGCGCGTCATCCAGGGACTTTGCAATACCAAAGACGATATGGTTTACGGAATGCAGATATATCTAATTAGTAAACATCAAAACGTATACAGCGAATGCCAAACGCGTGTTTGCATTTATCTCAATAAGGATGAACTTCGCTAACTAATTTCTGTGCTTGCGCGCGTACTCGACTCGGGACTTAATCCCTTCGGTAACCCGTGACATTAGATAATAATTGCATTTACAAACTTTCGCGCGAACTAGAGAGAGTGGAATGTGAAGAAAGAAAGAAAGAAAGAAGAAAAGAATATGTAACGAGTCAGCGAAAAAAAAAATTTTTTAAGGTTTACAGGTCGACGGCCATCGTGAGTGTGAGCTTGCAGCGGCGGCGCGCTTCGAGTGAAAATCGATCGGTGTGGTTCGAGAGAGAAGTGAATATTATGAAGCGTTCGGTAGTGGTGGTGGTGGTGGTGGTGGTGTGTGTTATATACGTTTATTGTATACAGGCAAGAGAAAGAAAGAGAGAGTAGAGAAAGAGAGAAAAATAATAAAGGGAAAAATTCGGGCCAACGAGAAAAAAGTCTGCTGCAAAGACACAACCCGTGGCAGCTGTATGTATAGACAATCTAGAAGCTGTTTCGGTCGAAAACCAAAGAGTGAAGCCTGCTCTTCTCTCTTATCCCTCGCGCGCGCGCGCCACCCCGTTAGCTTGCGCGAAGCGCGGCATTTTTTCTGGAGGGTTTATGTCACTCGAGCCGCGAGCTGACTTGTGCCGTTGTAAAAGATATACACGAAAATGGTTTATGGATCGATCCTTGAGTCACGAGAGAGAGAGAGAGAGAGAGAGAGAGAGAGAGACAGAGAGAGANAAAATGACTCGGGCCGACAATCAAAACATAAACAACAAAAGAGCATCGACACAGTATAATTGGAGGAGAGAGAGAGAGAGAGAGAGAGAGAGAGAGAGAGAGAATTTTACACCATGTCGCGCATTTTGTCGCGATTTTTCACTTCTTTTTTCTTTACCATCGTAGTTTAAAAAGAGCAGCTTCGGTTACAAATTTCGTTTATTCATCGACATTTAAACCCGTCACGGACGAAGGCGTCATTTATAACGATATATATTCCACGAAAATACATAAGCAAGGAACTAGAGTACACCGCGGCGATACATAAAACTTCATTGTGCGCGCGAATAGCCGTGATAAATGGCTTTTTAATTTTTCATTTTACGTCCAAGCCTATTATCATCGCGCGCGCGGGTACCAGGGTGAAATGCGTCAGTGCGTCACGGAGCAGTTAGAGCAGAGCACGTAAACACACACAACACACACACACACAGTAGACACACATTCATCGGCATCAGCGAAGATGAACCCGCCGTAAAACGCTACACACAAGCATATTTCCGTTAATCTAATGCATTTTGCATTTCGTTAAACCTCCCTGATCTACATGAAATGAGAGCGCACCGCGTACGCGCGTGTGAGGGCGTTAACAACACCACCATATGATGTGTACGTATAATATACGTAAATACACGCGCGAGAGGAAGCGTCGTCTCGCGTCGTGGGCTGATACATATTACTTATGCATGTAATCAACTTGCAATTTTCCAAAAATATTAGTGTCAACAGAAAGCGAGTAATAATAAAATACGTAAAGTAGATCGTGCACGTGCAGTTTTATAATAAAAATATACACAAAAAATACAGCGATACACAAGGAAAGAGGTGTACATGGTTAGAAGCGTACAGGAAAAAAAAACGATGAAGCCCAACAAGCACATAAACAACTCATGACGTATAAGCTTTGATTATTCGTACACTTTTTTCCCTCTGAGTCTTTTCTTTCTTTCTTTTTTCCAACCACTGCATGCATTGGAACTCGCGCTCGGGTATCGATCGATTTCGCGCGCGAAAAAAGAGAAAAATATAGGCTTCTTTAGAGAAAGCGCTGCTTTTATCTAAACAACGTTCAGCAGCAGCAGTACACATACGTATATGCACGAGCTTGCAAGCTTGCGCGTGTGGCCGGAGGAAAAAAATAGACCATTTACGTGTGTGTGCGGGCTCGCGAGAATCGCGTGAAAAAGAAAACGCGGAGAAAAATAGTCGATACGTTATTTTTATAATTTCTGTTTATGAAAAAAAAAAGAAAAGCTTCATACATACCCGAGGCGTGTTGAAGTGGAATGAGTAAATATTCAACTAACACTGAGTGTATAGAAAGTAGAGAGAGAGAAAGAGAAAAAAAAGGTTTTACTGTCACTCATGTAGATGAGTAAAAGGTCGAGCACGAATGGAGGCACATAGCAAAAGCAAGAGAGAGAGAGAAACACCGAGGATGGAAAAAAGTGTAGTAGGCGTGTAAAAGAGGAGAATATCTATGAAAAAAAATATATATACACAACGTCTAGACATGTTTTTTTACACATCAATAAAAAAACAATGACCGAGCTTGTTATAAAAAGAGATTAACTATAAGTGTATTATTGGTTATTAATTATGGGTGACAATAATAATAATAACTGTCGAGTACTTAATCATCGTACTGTCTTTTCCGCAATAGTTAGAAACTAAATCACAATAAAGTGATTGCGCCGGGTTTTTAGTTTACAATAAGATAAGATTTCGCAGCGAAAAGACAGCAAAGAATCGAGTACGCAACCAGTATTGATACGTCAAATAGAGGCAACGAAATAGTAAACACGTGGAAGGAATGTTAACGGCTTAATTTTGGGGTGGATGCTGAACGAGGATAAGAGAAACATATCCAAGCGGTAAAGACATCCGAACCATTTAATCTGTAAGAGAATCCTAAATAGAAGAAAAAGACTAGTCGGAATTTTTCACTTTAGATTCCTGAGTAAATACCAATTCTCCTGGATTTTTGTTTCTCTTAAAATACGTCGTTGCACTAAATAGCTACAACGACGTAATTTTGAGGAATTTGGCTAAAATTTTGGTTCAAAGGGGGGTCGGTCGGTCAGAGAAAAAAAAAGGGGGGGGGGGGGGCAAAGAACGGTAAAGAGTCAAGGGGGGTTAAATCGGGGCAGATTCGGGGGGCGGCAGAGGGTCAGGGCAGGGCGGGGGTCGGAAGTTTGCGGAGTCACGAAAAACATAAGACTTACGGCGTCTGCCACGAGGTGTGCGGGCGGGAGGGCTGCCTGCAAGTGTCCACTCTTCAGCAGGGGGTCGGCGAGGCCTGCCACGCTGGCGTGTAAGGAGCTCGGGTGTAGAGGATGATGATGATGATGGGGGTTGAGGTGTACCGGCAGCAGGGGATGATGCCCGTGGGGCGAGGCTGCGAAGGGCGAGGAGGGGTGATGGGCCGCGAACGGGGAGGTCTGCAGAGTTTGGCCGTTGAGCGAGGTCGGGTGGGGGGCTGTCCCGGCAGCTGCGGGGGCGGCGGGCATTGACATAACAGTACTTACGTCCGAGTGGGCGGGCACCGCGTAATTACCCTGGATGGTGAAGGCTTGCCCACCAGCCAGGATCACTGGCCCACCAACTTGGGGTTTAGGGCGATAAGGGATCGTGGCACCTTTGGGAGGGGACTGAAACAGAAGAAACAGACAGAAAACACACACATTATGATTAATATTTATTTTATATTAAAATTTCAAATGATTATTATAATAATACTTTTTTATTAATTTGCGAAATAACTTTTTTTATTTTATTTTTAAACGTGAGATTAAAAAGTGTTGAGGATGTGCTGAATTCCAAGCAGTTGTATAAAATTAAAGAACTTTCGGTATATATTTAGATCTATGCTGTTGGCGTTTGTCAACGGAGATGTAACAAAAATAAATAAAATAAAATAAAAATTAAATTCCATGCATCGTAATAATATTGTATAATAATATAGGTCCACAAGTGTAAAATAAATATCGATAAACACGATCGGTATTCAGCATTCCCTTTAATTTTGAAGAATTGAGTATCGTTTTTGGATATCGTTGAAATGCAGTCATAGGCAAGAATCTACGGTAATAAAGGGGGAGAAGTGGGCTACAGTGGGTAAGCAGTACACTATGGATAAATTCGGATAAGTTCGTTGTTGTTGTTTGAAGTAATATATATAAATATAAAATACAAATATATTTATATAAAATATATATGCGCAGGGGGTGTCAATTATTACAACATGTAACTGTTAGAAGAAGATATGAATACTTCTGAGAGGCTAATTGAAATTTGGATGTTTGCTACGTTTCTTTATTTTTTTTTTGTTTTGTTTTTTTTCTTTGCTTTGGTACCTACCCATCGTTAAGTGTACTCGACTACTACCCATTGTAGCCCAATCTCTTCGTTCATATCTAAATGCAAAAAGTAACTTCCTTTTAATATTCATCTCAATTTGAATTAAAAAATAGAGCTATTTTTTTATATCTTAAATCTCTTTGTTATTGCTAGATAAGGGACGTGTCGGAGAGTCTCTGCGAGACGATCAAATAGATTTTTTGCCCATGGCTAGATTTTTTTTTCCAGCAAGGAGAAACGATCGCCTCCAACTCGTGTATTTGTGTTCATCGTATTGAAATAAATTGATGAGAGCTTTGCGAATCAAACGGTGACGATATCTTTATTGGCAATTAATTCCTCCGCGTTTTTTTGTCGCTGCTCTCCTCTCCGGTACGGAGCTTTCGGTATCACACAGATATTTAAATTGCGCCGGATAAAATACACTCGAGACTTTTGTCAATAAATATAAAAATGAACGAGTTTTCGCGTGGCGGCTTTGACATTATTATTCCTGTTGAATATTCACGATGGATGGCTTTGTGATATAAAATATTACTGGAATATGGCAAATAAATCGATATACCTATAGAGAGAGAGAGAGCGATCGTTCCTCCGAGCTTTATTTTCTAACTAAATACCTCAGAGGCGGTAACGTATACCTTTCCTCGTTAATAATTGTGGGTGGTGCCGCGAAGAAGAAGAAAAAGAAGAAGACGAGGAGGAGGAGGAAGAAGCTTGGTCTCGGACACTTACCTCTAACATGACGCAGCATATGTGATATATGCACTGAGTTATGGCCTCGCTGGTGCCGGAGATCGTGACAGCGCGCTCCGTGGAGTTGGGCAGCATCTCGGACGCCACCTGTATCGAGGCACCTGTGACTTCCCGTATCTCCTTGATCTTGGAGCCGCCCTTGCCGATCAGCGAGCCGCACTGAGACGCGGGCACGATGAGGCGCAGCGTGATCGGAGGCCGAGGGACGCCCTGACCGCCGCCCGCGTTGTTGCCCTGGACGTCGTGGAACTGCGAGCACCACTCCTCGAACTTCTTGCAGATCAGGGTGAACGCCTTGAAGATGGAGTTCGTCGGGCCGGTCACGGTCACTATGCGCTCCGGACACGAGCCGTCGGAGATGTTGATCTTGGCACCGGACTGCGGATCACAGACGGAAAAGAGAGAAGAAGTGAGTTAGACGTGCACAGACGACGAGCTTTTTAGTGTTTATTACACGTGTGACGCGGTGAATTTAGATCAAGAGCCGACGTTGGAGAAGCCGCCCGAGAGAGAATCGACGATAATGTACCTCGACTCTGGCGTAAAAATTTTTACCTCCCTTTTCAAGATTTATCGCACATTCGTACGTGTATATCGCGCGCGCGAGGATCGAATTGCGCCCCGAAGATGCGCGCCCGAGAGCGGAGCACAGCACAGCACAACTGGCGAGATTGATTGTTTCGTATTATTTATGTATACGAGCACGTGACAGACTGACGTATACACACGATGATGGATAAAATAGTCGTGGCACTTTTTCACCTCCCGTGAGATGTACGCGTACGCGCCTTTTTTCCCCAGATTTTTCTTCTTTTTCATTTCTTTCCTTTCTTTTTTTTTTTTTTTTTTTTATTTATTTCGCCTCATCTAGCAAACTAGCTACGTATGTGTGCTATGTATGTAACGAATTCGCTGACAGGGTGAAATATGAAGTCCATATATATATAATACGTGAGTGTGTGTGCGTTCTTTCTCGCGCTCTACTCGCGCACGCCGCAAGAGAGCGATTTATTTTTCAATTACACGCGAAAACGTTGTTTGTCGTTGCTGCTGCGTGCATTGTTGCGTGTGCGTGCGTGGCTCGCCACAGCCAATGGAGCTTATTAACTCGTCGTCTCTGTGAGCTTTTTTTCGTAACTTTTATTCTTTTGGTTTTTTTTTTTCTTATTTACATTTGTGCAAACTATGTTGCGCGCGATAACTCGCGCGAGTACGTGAAATACAAATGAGATAATTGAAAATTTCAACCGTTCATTCGAAAATGCGTCACACGTTACAACTCTCGAAATTCCGAGTAAACTATATTTACGAACTTTCGCGCGCACGAGAGAGAGAGAGAGCATTTGATTCTTATAAATAGAGCTTTTACACGACGGTGCGCGCGCGATTTGTAACAAACTTCTCTCTCTCTCTCCTCGAACGACGCGACTCGTTAACGCCGCGAGAGTACGTGAAAAATGTCGAAAAATTTGTCGTCGTCTCTTTGATTGTTAGCAAAAAAGCAAAAGAAAAAAAACAAAAGAAGGTGGATAAAAAATGAAAACTTTTTTAATAACAAACTGCAGTAAGAGGACGACTACTCCAGTCGTTCAAAGTTTTTAGTAGATAGAAAAATTGCTTTGCTGCTCTCGCGCGGTGGCTAGGTAGCTACGCTATACGCTACGACGACACTTTATCTTGATTACAAACGAAAAGGAGAAAAAAAAAAGAAAAAAGATAGAAATTATTACCTCTTCGCGGAACCTCTTGACGATTTCTCCTTTCTTGCCGATGATGCTTCCGACCTCCTGTAACATAGAAAAAAACAGAAACACTTGATTGAGTATAAAATTTTTTTTATTTTGCTCATAGTTAAGAAGAATTTTCGCAAGTATTATTGATTAATTAATTTTTGTAACGAGATGAAAAAAAAACTCGATGCGCGATCGCGCGGAATTTCGCAAGATAAACTTTTCACCGAGTGATATTTACTTCGTCGTGATTACAGAGCTGTCATCGCGCGGCGCAATGCGCCAACTCCTATATATATATACCAATCGCTTTGCGAACATATCCGCCTATTACACGGCTCGAGGATCGCGAAAGGAGGAACGCGCGTCGTCATGAGACGATCCTCGGGCAGCCCATGAGAAATATATCCCCCTGCTGCTGTTGCTATAAAGACATCGGGGCAATAATCATCATGATGACACGATCGCGTCGTGATCGGGTACACGACGTGACGAGTTGTGTGTGTGTGTGTGTGTGTGCCACTGCAGCTATGCAGCTCTGACGCTGCCGCGTTGTGGGACAAATACACGAAATCCCGTAATAGCGCGCGACGCGCAACTATGTAGGTGCACTCGCGCTCGGGGAATATAAGAGCGCGACAAACCGATCTCCGACTGCTGCTGCAGCGGTAATAGTGGCTCTCGCTGCGGTGGTATATAGCGGTGCAGTGGTGTTATAGTAGCATCACGCACAGCTACAGCAGCCTCGATACGTGAACGCGTATATATATATATACGAGACGCATAGATGTGTGTGCGTGCGTTCAGCTAACCTAAAATTACGATTCCAATTAATCAAGAACTAGCGCATCCGGGCCTATTATACATACATAAAAAAAAATAGGAAAAAAAGAGACGCGCGAGCGCATATAGAGCCGTCGCGTCTCGCCATATCGAAATAGTCCCGGGGCTTCTCTCTCTCTCTCCTCGCCTTTTACAACATTGTTCGGTGTGCGTAGTGCAGTAAGTCTTATAAAGACTCTGTTTCCATCGGAAAAGAGAGAGAGAGGGATAGTACTTTATGTTGGGGACTCTATATACGAAAGCAGCAGCATCGCAGCGTCGGGTATATAAGGGGCTGCTCTAATAATAGGCAGAGAGAGATAGACACTGCAGTCGCGCGCTCTGACCCTCCCGATAATGTCACCGCATGCATCGTCGTCGTCGTCGTCGTCGTCGTGTGCTGCATAGTGTATGGCATATGGGATCTAGCTCGTAGAGCAGTCGGCTTGCAGTGCAGTACGCGCGCGAGAGAGAGAGAGAGAGGCGCATAGATAGATATATAAACGTGTACATATAAGAAAGCAGAGAGGAAGGCAGGTATGCGAGCCATTTCTAAACTTAGAGCTTCTCTCGCACTTTACTCTCTTTCTCGGACGCGCGCACTGACGATGCAGTTGTGTCTCTTGTGTTAAGCACTCACGTATACATAGTACTCGCACGCACACTTCGTCCCTTTTGCCGCGACGCTCTTCCGGAGGAGAGAAGAGCAGAGAGAGAGAGAGACACCGAAAATGGGATGTTAACGAAAGAAAAAAAGGTGCTAAGCTGCTGCTGCTGCATACTGCTACTGGCGCGAGAGCCTATTGTGGCTCTTTTTGGCGCGAGTTAGCTACCTACCAACCGATCGAATGACTATACGCGCTCGCTGCAACGAGACCAACGACTGATGACCCAACGATGTATAGTTAAAAGTCGGTGGATGAAACGAGAAGGCGACGAGCGACGATTACAAACGACCGGTTGGACCAATTTTAGGTATAGGCTCCGCTAGCTGCACGGCTGGCGCAAGAACAATCCATCGAAATTTCGCGCGCGTTTCTTGTGCTTCTCTCTCTAAAAAAAAAAAAAAAAAAAAAAACAATTGTATCGTCGAGGATCGGTTGTAGTGCTGCCACGGCAAGAGAAGTTTTCTCTTTTTGTCGCGCAATCTAATCTCAGACTCCTGTTATATGTGTGTATATATACTTAGATCAAATCGAAAGTATACGAACACGCCTATTGTCTCTCTCTCGGAGCGACTCGATTTTTAACCGATATATAGTGTATAGCTCACTACTACAACATTCGCGCCGCATTTATTACGCTATAATAATACGCGCTAGAGATTCGTCTCGCTGCATGCAGCAACACCACCGTAATAATCTTTTCTTTCTTTTTTTTTTTTTTAGAATAACGTCTCGTGGCACGCGCGTAACGACGTATTTATATAAAAGTCTTGAGTCGCGTGTGCGCCTATATAACGTGTACTATATCGTGTATAGAGTACGAATGTGTGTGTGTACGTACGTATTATCTTCCCACGCGTTTGTCGACCGACAGCCGACTCGACTAGTTTTCCTAGTTGTCTCGGTTATATTTCTCTTATCCAGTACAGCAGCAGCCACCACCACGCGCTGCCACTGCTGCTGCTGCTGCAGTCTCTTTCTACGCTCATTTTTCTCCTTTGCCCGCGCGCCTGAGCCTGCAAGCCTGTACACAAACGTGTGTGTGTGTTGCATCGGTGCAGCATACATAGGAGAGAGAGAAAGCGGAAGGCGCGCAAAGATCGTTAACCTCTGGTATATAGTAGTGCCTGCGAGCGCGACTCTATATAATATACTTGCCACTGCTGCTGCTGCTGCGCTATATAATGCATATCGCATCTTTTTTTTTCTTCTAATCCTATCCACTTCGCGCTCGTGTGTGTCCAGCTTATATACACCAGCCGGAGCTGTCTTAAAACGACTGTCATTCGACCTTAAAATATATAGTGCATTTTTTTTTTATTCGGACACGTTGCACATTTTTCATCTTTTCCGTGAAGTTGCCAACTTTGGACCTTCCTGCGACATCGTATGGAGCACAAGCCGATAAATTAATCTCCGTTATATACGACGATTCGACGTTTCGCAGCGACTTCGAATATGCCACCTGCATGGCCAATATCATATACAGAGATACGAATCTGTGTGTACACTGTATGTTTGATCAAGTGCTCCCGAGTACATACATACACTTGCTGCGTCTCATGCATGATTCCCGCCTGCGTCGTCGTCGCGCAAGCAAAATAATCAAACGCTTAGCGCGCGAGACTACTTTAAGGTAAAGTAGCGATACACACGACGAGAAGAAAGATAAGTGTATTTATACGGCGCTCGAGCTGCTGAATATAGAGTCTCTCTCTCTCTCTCTCGCTCACTCTCTTTTTCGGTCGCATCCACATCCACGCACCAAAGGCGCAAATAATAAAAAGAAAATCGACGCGCGCGATGCGTCCGACTCGCAGCAGTGAATGTATGCGCGTTCCCGCTGCTGCAGTGGGCTCTCTTTCATTTTGCAGCCACAGCCTCTCTGGCGCGTAGCCAGTGATCGGAGTAATGCGTCCCGATCTTTCTCTCTCTCTCTTTTCGGGCGTGAAAATTTACGCCGACAATGAGGTGGGGTGCACAGGCTTTTATTTGCCTCTCTGATCTGCGTACGTACGCGGTAGCAGCGTCTCACTGATACTTTTTCCGATAACGATGATGTTTTTTATGGGGTATACAACGAGTTGAGTGCATATATTTTACGAGGGCAGGAATTAATAGAGATGTAAATGAATGACGACGATATCGCTATACGTGTGGGTGCGAGGAGAACATTGACATTGAAACGCTAACGTAAGATGGAAACGATGCGAAATTGATGAATAAGTATTTCTTAGCGCATAAATTTTAATCGAGATCATAGCGAAATCGTGGCCACAAGCGAAAAATATACATGCAAATGCCAAGTGGCGGTGGTGACGTGCTATCGGATAAAATCCGCATGCAACAAAGAAGGCCAAAAATAAACAAAAATGCTAACTCGGCGAGAGATGAAATTGTCGACAGGAAATTTCGAACTCTCAATAGCGAGAGAGAGAGAGAGAGAGGCTTTTTCTTTCTCAACGGTGTGCAACTACTACCACTCTTACTGCGTGTATTAGACTTATATACGCACTGGATAACCGCCAAAAACGTTGCCGCTGCGCTCGCCTGCAGCGGCGGAATTATAGTCGCACAGATCATGTTTCGCTTTGATATTAAATACACACGCACGCGCGCACGCATACGAACGCTAGAATCGAAATAATTCATAATATCTTAGCGCTCGTTTACGTTACGGACTCTTGGGAGCTCTTAAAAAGCCGATTATTAAAGTTGCAGTGTTACGATATATAACCCGCGCGAATAATACTATGATTCAGTGGAACGAGGGGAGAGAGGGAGTAAGTAGGCTTACTCGGAGAAGGTCAATAAAATTGTGGATATGATGAATTTTAGAATTTTTTTTCCTCGCTATTTGTTGTTGGCACTCGACGTCTTATCGTCTCGCGATTTTGTGTTTGCTTGGCAATTCAACCGTTGAGGAATATTTTTACAACACGCACACGCGGGTTTGAGCTAATTTATTTATCGAAGTAATTTAATATAGCCCAACCGTGATCTGAATTTCTGGATGAAAATAGAAAAGCGATAAGTTTCGTCGATGTCGGTTATTTAGCAATATGTTTTCGATCCTCGTTAGCCAGCGGGTTTCAACAATTGCGCGTAAAAAACGAGTTAATTGGCAGCGAACAATCGAAATTCAATTTAACGCGTCTATTAACAGAAAATCGTTACACAAATACAAATAAAACCGTATCAGTATTCAAGAGGCAAAACCAGCTCGGTTCGCAATCGCACTCGCGCGGGCGACTTTAATAAATTGCAATAGTCAACATATAAAAACCGTACGTGCGTCTCTACCCAGAGGAAGGAGGAGGAGGTTCGAGAGTTTTTTGGAAGGTATAAAAAAAATAAATGCGACTCTGCGGGCTCGAGTTTCCGTGTAATAGAACAAAGAAAGAGAAATGGAAAGAGAGAGAGAGCAAGAGAGCTGCACATGATATGTTTGTTTCCAGGTGAGATGTTTAAAGGCAGCACTGCTGCGCAGAGAGAGAGAGAGAGAGAAGCACAAGGCAAGATTAGAGAAGAAACGAAAACAGATATCACGGGTGCGCAGAGCGCACGCAA